GCTGGATGTGAAGCTCGCATCCCAAACGGATCTAGATGGTGTTTATAATATGTTTATACATATATACATATGTGTAGATAGATAGAGTGGTGTAATGTGGTGTATCTAGATGTTTTCATGTTGTATGTGTATATCTTACATATATATATATATAGGTATTATAGATATATACAGTGCATTTGCTAGGTAGATGCTGCGCATGCGGGTGTGTACATACATTTATACTCTTACTCCCTGTGATTTGTTTCCTTCATCCTTGTTGAGAATCCATTTTTTTGGCCCAAGATACATGATTCCATCCACGAATTTCGTGCAGGCAGCTTCATCTTTCATTGCCGCTGAGGCGGGTTCGAAGCTAGGAATGCATTCGCTGGGTGATCGTCAGCTAAGCTTTACCTCAAATGTGAATGGTAGGTTGATGGTAGGTTCATACTCTCCGGCAATTCAACATGGAGAATCACCATTCTTAGGTAAATCAACTAAATGGTGGAAGGGTAAGCCAGGCTGTTGATGGAGGGTATGGGACCGCCTTTTTTGTGGTAAATTCGCTATTTCGATCCTATCTCCACTCAAAAGACCAGCTCTGATTCTCGGTCCTCTTTCTGAAGTTCCTTTCATGTGAAAAGATGGTTTGATTTCTTTTCGAGCACTCAATAGCCCCCGGAAAGAACAGGACGCACGCTTAACAAATCGTGCCTTGATGTTCAACAGTGAAGCCATGATCAGCACCGGGTGCCGGTCACGGTCAGGCGGAAAAACTCTCCACACCTGTTGAGAGTGGCGATTTGAAAGGCGCTCTGCGGGGGGATGGTGCCCTGTGGCCCTAGGTGTTTTGTGGCTTGTCGATTTTGTCGGCACCGTCCTGTTTACTGGAGGAATCCTGCTCTTCGTCCTTTTGAAGAAGATTCAACTTTACAGGATTCCTTCAACGTTGATAACGAAACACCCCGCGCTGTTGTCCTCCAAATCTCAAACCATTTGGTTTTGTTTGAAAACAGGACATCCCCAAATTTGATGGTTTATCAATATCATGGTTCATCAATGTGTATCATGGTTTATCAGAAAGTGTCCATTTTCAAGCGGCTATTTGAGGGTAATCCCATTTTGAGAGAAATCCATCTAACATCTAGCAACAATTGTTGAGGAGCACTGCCCCAAAACCTTTGTTGGTTCATGGTTAGAGGATTATACCGTTGTACCGCTCAATATATTGGGGATTAAAAGCATCTATAATGGGAATCCCTAGCAACCAGTATAATGAAATACATGTCGGGTTTTGACAGACCCGAATCATAATATCTTGTTGATCATATATCCCAGTATATCCCCACCTTATCACCATTGATGGTTCGCTTTAAACCTATGAATACCATCCATTTTCCATAGATATCTCCTGCCGAGACATTGCCACTGTGTCCGTGGGTGGCGACGAGAAGATGGGGCAGATGATCTCTCAGGCTGGATCATTCATGTGGTTAATGAAATCAACTGATTGGATGAAAATCATGCATTTTTATACCGGTTCATGATGGTTAATGTTGATTCATGTATATTTATTTGGTTTGGGGAGCAGAAATCAATGGCTGACCATTCAAAAAACTAAAAATGCTGTCGATCTTCCCAATGGTGTATCCGGCGTTGTCATCAAACGTCGCTAGTTGGGAAATCCCCAAACTAATTGTGTGATTTTTCCATTGCCATCTTTGATTACCGAAGGGTAATCCACCATCACTGCGGAATCTGATGGGAATATGTTTTATGCTGTGTGTCTTTTGCCGGGCCTCTCAAGCAAATCCAAGATGCAAGCCACTAAATTCTGAGGTTCGTTGGGCCCTAAGGAACAACAAGAAGAAGTCCAAACAAAATTCCGACAGCACGAAGGCTGTTCCAAATCATCCAAGATCATCCAAGATCTTGTCTTTTTCGAAGTTTCGGAGTAGGGAGCCGGGAGTAGCCTCAGGTAGCCTCAGGCCTTGTTGATTTTTGTCCGGACTTCCAAATCGCAGCCAGGCCTTTGAAAGAGTGGGCGACACCGGCAATGTGGTGCAACACTCAGTTCAGGTCTCCCAGGTCTCCAAGGGAACTTTGACCTTTTTGACCGCCATCCATGCCACTTCCGTGGCGTTTAAATGTTTAAACGTTTAAACTTCATTAAACTTCATGGCTGTGTCAATGGTGAATACCCCCAACAACTAGACGACGGATGGCCCGAGAGCGTAGAGGAGCAGGGTCTTCTCTTGTTAGTATGGAGACACCATATTACAAAACAATATATTAAAGATGTGTTATAGGCAGTCGAGAAGAGGAGTATCAAGACAATATAGCATAAGTACAAGACAATAGTTTGCATCGCAAACACTTTTACACACAGAAGCTTTTACACAGAGCAAGCTTTTACACAGAGAACCCCTTACACAGAGAAGCTTTGACACACAGAAGCTTTTACACAGAGACACTTTTACACAGAGACGCTTTTACACACAAGGCACTTTTACACAGA